CTTGCCCAGGAGTTTCTGGGAACTGTGACCTGCAGTCTCCCGTGAGGACCCAGGGCCTTGCTATCGGCTGCCAGACCTGCCTTAGCTCCCCCACCTGTGTTGGCCTGGACTTGACCTCGGTCCCCTCCTCGTCTCCTGGACACCTGGCTGTATTATGACTCCACTCTGACTTTAACTGAGTAACTCCTGACTCGGACCTCCGCTCCCTGCCTCTTCTGGACACTGTCCCAGATATTGCCCAGGCCAGTGATGGTGAACCTTTTGAGCTCGGCGTGTCAGCATTTTGAAAACCCCTAACTTCACTCTGGTGCCGTGTCACATATAGAAATTTTTTGATATCTGCAACCATAGTAAAACAAAGACTTACATTTTTGATATTTATTTTATATATTTAAATGCCATTTAACACAGAAAAATCAACCAAAACAATGAGTTCGCGTGTCACCTCTGACACGCGTGCCATAGGTTCCCCATCACTGGCCTGGGCCATGGGTCCCCACATCGCCCGCAAAGATGATACCTGAAAGGGGGGGGGGAGGGTCTCTTTGCCTGTCCAGGCTGCTCTTGCTCAGGCCCAATCTGCTCCCTGCCTCATTTCAAACTGCCATTCGGACCTCCCTCATCCACATTTTCATGGGGTGTCTGCGCGTCCTAGGCTCTGTGCTCGGGACAGAGGAGAAGAGAGTGGACAGAAGGCAGCCCCCACCCTTCAGACAAGTCAGATCGGAGCACTGAGCCCCTCAAGCCCTTTCCTCCTGGGTCTGAGCGCACGGCCTCCTCCCTCTGAAAACATTTCTCTTCTGGAATCCCAACCTCTCTTCTTCCAAACTCTTGAAGCTTTCTTTAAAAAAAAAGAAAGTGTTCTTTTTTTAAAATTGATTTCAGAGAGGAAGGGAGAGAGAGAGAAACATTGATGATGAGAGAGAATCATGGATCAGCTGCCTCCTGCACACCCCACATCGGGGATTGAGCCCTCAACCCGGGCAGGTGCCCTGACCAGGAATCGAACCGTGACCTCCCGGTTCACAGGTCGACGCTCAACCACTGAGCCACACCGGCCGGGCTCGAGGCTCTCCTTAATTTCAGATTTGCACTGCACTGCAGTCTCTGAGTGCTGTCTCGCGTTCTGAGAAGGGCATCGAGGCGCCAAGCACCCTGCCAGCGCTGGTCTGAGGCAAGCTCAGAGGTATCGCATCGGCGGCCGTGGGAGGAAGGGTACACCGCAGGACATGGCCTCATGAGGAGGGAACACCGGGCTCTGCACCCCCAGGCAGAGCTGTGTGCTGCCCTCTCTGAACGTGTAGCAGGAAATCAGGCAGCTCACCTTAGAGAGCTGTTTGCATACCGCCCATGCCTGAGCCAGATGGTGCCCGTTTGTTCCAAGAAATTAAAAATGAAAAAGGAAGAACAGAAGGTGGAGTTTATCTCTACCTCCCGCCTGCCCTCCTAGACACAGTGTGGGATCTGCTCTGGGCAGGTGAGTACAGATAACACAGCACACATGTACTCCCCCCCCCCCACACACACACACATACACACACACACGCCTGAACTCTCAGCATTTAGCTGTATTAGTCACCAGAAACCAGCAAGCTCCTAGGCCCAACAGACTCTAGACCAGCCGTGGGCAAACTACAGCCCGTGGGCCGGATCCGGCCCGTTTGAAATGAATAAAACTAAAAAAAAAGAAAAGACCGTACCCTTTTATGTAATGATGTTTACTTTGAATTTACATTAGTTCACACAAATACTCCATCCATGCTTTTGTTCCGGCCCTCCGGTCCAGTTTAAGAACCCATTGTGGCCCTCGAGTCTAAAAGTTTGCCCACCCCTGGACTAGACCCTACGGTAGCAGAGAGGAGCAGGCCGGTCCCGGGTCAGCTTGCAGAGAGCCCTCAGCGCCTGGCCCTCTCATCTAACAAATCACTGCTCTCCCAGGGCGTTGGCTGGGACATGGAGCAAACACATCTTTCCTAAATCGCCGGGCACGGACGTAGCTCAGAGATCCATGACAGGGCCCTGTAAACACTGACCAGCACAGGCGAGCGTGACACCCCAGTGTTTCTGTCTAAGATGAAACCCTGCGAAGGAACTTTTCCGGAAGTGGTCACCTTCAAGGCCCTACTCCTTTGGGGCAGCTGGGTGACCCGTTTACTTCCCAGCGTCCGGAGATTCCTCGCTCCGACTCAGGAATGACCTCTGGAAATGAGACTGTCCCCGGGGTTCTCCTGTCCGGGCGTGCAGGGGACTAAGGGATATAATGTACATAACAATTTATCCAGGAAGGAGTGTGCTCCAGGCTCCTAGCGCTAATGAACTTGCTTAACATCAAAGCAACTCTGTTGAGAGACTCTGTTTGTCCTTGTTTGTAAAACGGGAAAATGAAACAGGTGAGGGAAGGGCACGAGGTCCCATGGCTGCTGACGGTGGGGTTGGGATGTAAGCACAGGTCAAATCAGGCTCAGATGCAGAATGCCCGGCTCCCTGATGCCTTCCAATAGGATAAGAGGACTTCCGGGTGCATTACTGATGTGACCGCTGGCCAATGGCTTCCTTCCTTTTTTCCCTGAGGGGGCGGGGCTATGCATACATTAGCCCCTCGTGAGCACCTGAGCATGAAGTTGGGATACAAGCTGCTCTTTGAATGTGGATAGTCTAGTGCCCGCCCTCCATCAGTGGACTGTGCAGCTTTCCAGGGGGCGCCCCGAGTTCTTACTGCAACAGCTACCCGTTCCGACTTCATACTTCCTGGGGACTGAAGGCGCATTTTCGAGCCAGCTGGCCTCAGCTGACACCTGGCTTGGCCTGCATGACAATGGCATTGTGGATGCCTGGCACGTGGACAGTCCCCCCCCGCCCCCCGCCCGCCGGGCTCCCCGTTCCTTAATTCCAGTCTGCCCTGGTGCCCACGGAAATGAGACGGATTTACTCCTTGGCGCTCTCCCAGGAGGAGAGAGCAGCAGTGCGCAGTTGTTAAAGCAAGGGCGCAGCGGTCTCACTTGAGGATGTGATTTTTTTCCCCTCTTTGAAATCAGAATCGAGAAATACCAAGTGCACTCCTGGAGGCAAGTCTGCAAGCCGAGTCTGCACACGTCCTGGTCAGATGCTGTTTCCCCAGACCCCGGTGAAGCCGGCAGAGACCAGACCGGCATAATCAAACCTCTTCCTCGCACAGAAAAACAACGAGCCGCCCCTTGCTTTTATCAACACCAACACAGCCGAGCGCGGCCAGACAGGCCAGCAAACCCCATTACGCGGAGTGCAAAGGCAATTAAACGGTGCCAGCTCCAGCGAGACCTGAGAAATCTGTGACCCACGGGCCCCGAGGAACCACACCGATGCCTCTCTTCAAAATGACTGGAAAACACGGGCCTAGAAGCTAAAGAAAGGCTCCGCTGGGTTATTTCCCGGCAGGCCCGCCCTGGCATCCGTCTGTGGCGACCGCTGCTCCCTGCTCCTTTTTCTGTGTCTGGGGGTGGTGGACAGGGCAGGTGGCTCCAGAAAGCGACCAGTTTGCTGCCGACACACAGCCTCCCCCCGCTGCCTGTCTACTTCTGCTTCACATCCTCTCCTGACGCTCTGTCATCTGCCAGCCGCTGTCTGTACCCTGAACAAATTACTTTCTAACCACAAAGAGCGTTTCCCAACCATCCTGTTTTTCTCTGGGCCCGGGCTAACATGACATGTCTTGAGTGACTGGTTTTATCGTCCTGCTTAGACAAAGCCATCAGGAGGAACCTTCGGACAGAGCTGCTCTGCAGACGCCAAACCCCCGGCCTCTTGCAACATGCTCGAGCCGACGGGACAACCGTGGGCTCTTTACTCACAATGTGGTCATTCGCTCCTGACAAAGATGGGACAAATGGCTAGCATGCCTTGGAGACACTGCCCCACCCTCTCCCTGCACCACACATCCCTAGTCCTCGCCCCTTCAACGTCCCGCGAAGGAAATTTTCCATATTTTCGAGGCAACCGACTTGCAATCAGTTTGCAGAAGTGATTCCATCTCTGTATCTCAGGTTGCACCTATACTCCCTCCCCCTACCCACCTTCCCGCCATTATTTTTTGAGTTAAATGACACCCGTGCCCACTTTCCCTGGCAATAATAACACTGTCAGAACCACTCAATGATCCAGGGGGAGATGATTCATGAAGACTAAGGGGGAAAAGTCTGGGAGCAAAAGAAGACACCTGATCACGTAGACAACCGCAGGATGTGAAATCGGACGTGATGTCCCCTCCCCCAATCGGGGAGCTTTTCCTAACCGGCACCCCCTCCAGCGCTGGCGGTGACAACCTGCCTCCTCCCTTCATCTTTCCTACGCCGCGTGGAGAACTACGCTCAGCACGACATTAACCATTTTGCTCCTTTATGGTGGGCTCTGGCTTCTCGTCAAGAACTGCCTTTGAAAACGAGCTGCACAGTCAGCAGATAATGTCG